TGCCCAGAGCCATTTTCTTTGTTAGCCCACCCATTCAGTTCTAATATCTTGCACTGTGGAGGAGACAGTTTAAAGGGGGCATGAGGAGTTGGGGCATGGAAAAGTAGTAAGTGAAGAATAATCGTCCCAGTAAGCTTCATGATCTTTGGTAAACCTCTCCATTTATACACTCTTCAGGATTATGTATTGAGTGCATACGTATGATGTGTGCTTCCCTGGAAGTCAAAAATAAATCTAATAAAAAGTTAAAAGCACTCGGGCACAGATGCCAAGGAGCTGAAGCCTGGTGGCCATCCTGGAAGCCAGATCTGTTCTAGGGAGAGGACTTAGTGATTGTTGGGGGGTGTCTACGATGGCATGTTCCTCAGATGACCTTGCATGGAAAGCAGGTAGTGACTAGGTTCCTAGTGGCCTCGGGACCACTATCAGAGAGCCAGTGACTAGAGAGCAAGTGGCAGGTCGTTCAGGGCCTCTCGCATGTACATGTCTCTAGCTCAGATTCTGACTGTGATATTCAGAGAAGACTCCAAAGGTTCCATTGGGAAGGGCTCCGTAGCACAGTCCAAGGCAAAATGAAGATTTGTCTATAGTGTGTCAAACCCAGCAGGGTGGTCATTGGGACAAGTTGGCTGGAGACAATATTTAAACAAAAGGGTGAGCTTTTTAGCACCCCTACTTCATCCTCCCCCATCTTCTCTTGCAGTTTAATACTCTAATTCTGTCAGTTCACAGCCAATTAATGTCATTGCAGAATCATCTAACAGTTAAAGCGGAGAACACTGTTCCTAGGACTCTCTCCCAGTGTGGCACAGGAAGATTTAAAACACACACTCTCATCCTCAACAGCAAAAAGAGTAGAAAGGGAAACTGTCATCCAGATACTTGTTTTGCAGAGTGCTAACCCGGCTACCCCCCCACAGGTCAGGGAGAGCTTTTCAGATGGCTACCACTAGGGGGCACCTGGCATTGGGGATCATCCATGTAGGCAGCCTCAGGGGTGAGTTCCATGGTCATGCCTGTAGGAGGCACCATCCAGAGCTGCCGTTCTTGGAGACAGGGAGCCATTGTCCCAATGCTGATCTCAGCCTGTCTCCAGAGCTGCATTTGACCCTCTTGGGCTCCTGTGACTATTGCTCTCTGAACCTCATCAGTGAGTGGGAAAGGGAACAGGTAACTCTAAGAGGCAGAGGAGGCTCCCAAGGGTGTAGCTAAATGGTATCTACAGGTGCCATGCATTGAGGTTGGGGAAATCAGCTGCATCTGGTTCTACACAGACTAGGTGGAATATGACCTGATTTTTTCCCCCTTCCAGACAAGTTTTCTCTGTGTAGCAACCCTGGTCGTCTTGGAACTCACCTTGTAGACCAGGCTGACCTTGAACTCACTGAGATCCGCCTGCCTCTGCCTCCCAAGTGCTGGGAATAAGGAAGCGTGCCACCACTGCCTGGCTTCTTTTTCTTTCTTTTTTTTAATGCACAGTTTTAAATACTGTTTTCACAGAAAGCCATGCTGAATTCCAATTCTTTACAAAAAACCAGGTGATTGTATCATAAGCAATGTTCTCAGTGTTTCTCACACCATTGGGAAATTTGTAAAACACCATAGAGAATCAATTTTACAAAAAGCAGCCATAAGCTAAAAACACCACAGGGAGCTGAAAGGCAACTTGCCAATGAACCGTAGGTGTGCTTGGGTGAAATTCTCATCTGTGTATTTGGAGCTGAGGCAGCCAGGCAGACCTCTGCAAACCATTAGGGATTAAGAAAACAGGGGAACCTTGCTGTTCATGGGAGTGGGACTCAGTGGCTTATCCCTAAAAGGGTCAGGTAATAGAGCAGTGCAGGTTGCCCAAAGACTTTAGTGTAGTTTTAAGAAAGATAGAGTTCAAAAATTGCCCTCAATTGTTTGGGAACTAAAAGAACAGACAGCAATACCACAGGTGCAGGGGCCTGAGTTCAAATCCTTCTGTGTTTTGTTCTTGCTTGTGGTCAGGAAGGCTGGGGTGCAACCTGTTTTGTAACTCACTTGGCACACTCAGACATGGGTTCCCTTAACTCTCCTGAGCTGGGAGAGTCTTCTCTTGGGTGCACAGGGAGGTGACAGCGTGCAGTTAGATGACCTCCCAGGCCTCCTCTGCAGGACTCTTGCAAACCATCAGGAGCTGGCCTGGAGAAATTGCTCAATGGTTAAAGCAATTGCTGCACAACTGTGAGGATGCGAGTTCAGATGCCCAGAGCCCACGAGAAGTTGGACACAGTTGTGCCTGCCTTGGAACCAGTAGTCCTGTGGTGGGCTGGGAGGTGGAGACAGGACAGTTTCCACAAGTTCACAAACCAGCTAGCCTGGCATATGCAGAGATAAACGAGACACTGTTTCAAACAAATGGGAATGACAGGCAACAAGGGAGACTGTCTTCTGACCTCCATACAGATCCAGGGCACATGTGCACACACACACAAAGCCATATGCATACACACATGTGTGCAGATGGGAAACTGAAACAATCAGGTGAAGGTGATGTCTCCAAGCATTGTGCATTGGAGGCAGCTTTGGCAGGAAGGGCATGTGTGAGCATGGGTAAGCCATGCAGGGAAACTGCAGGACTCCATTGTTGAGGGCATGTGTGAGCATGGGTAAGCCATGCAGGGGAAACTGCAGGACTCAATTGTTGAGGGCATGTGTGAGCATGGGTAAGCCATGCAGGGAAACTGCAGGACTCCATTGTTGAGGGCATGTGTGAGCATGGGTAAGCCATGCAGGGGAAACTGCAGGACTCTACTGTTATTGATTTCCCAGCCCCTCATCCTCCACTGCCAGCTGGCTTTGGCAAGTGGTTGCCTAGGATGTGGTGACCACCATTTCCCGAAGAGCATGCACAGAAGTTGCCCTTTTCATGGAAATAACTCATTTCTTTCTATAGTTTCTAGTGGGAAGCTCTGGTTCCAAAGGATATCTTGGCACGTAGAACTGGGGTGACTGATTTTTTGAAGAACATTGAGAGTCCAGACAATGCTGCTAAGCCCCAGGTGTCCCCCATCCCTGAGTCTGGAAATGAGCAAGAATAATAAACTCCCCACTAGAGAAGGGATGAGCAAAGGTGAGGTCCTTTGGTTCAGGAGCCCGAGTTGTTGCATTGATGACATACATGGCTGTTCTCACCTTGAGTCCCCTAGACCCCTGATGGTTTCTATGAGGAAATTAGACAATTTTGTGGCCACTGATCACCCCACCTCTAACCAGTGAGGTCCTGCCTCCTGCCACGTGCTTTGCTGGCTCTTCTTCATTATCTCAGACAAAGCTTTATCAGATCAGGTTGAGTGTCATTGTCATCCTTTTCTACATAAGGGAAGCGAGGCTATCAGAAGCTGGACTGTGTCACCCTGGCAGAGCCATGCTGGAGACCTGACCTCCCTTACAGCCCCACTGAGTGACGACAGAACAGTTGTGAAGCTTCTAAAAGCCTAACCTTTGTGGAAGATCCATGCCTGGATGAGTGTGTGAGTGTGTGTGTGCTTGTGCAAGTATGTGTGGTGTGCACATGTGTATGTGTGTGTGCACATGTGTGTTTGTGTGTATGTGTTTGGTGTATGTGTGCCAGTGAACATGTGTGTGTTTGTGTGTATGTGCACATTTCATTTCTGTGTGTGCATGTGTGTGTGTGTGTGTGTGTGTGTGTGGCGTTGAGTTGTGCTCTATTCATTCCATTCAAAGCAGTGTGGCGTTGAGTTGTGCTCCATTCATTCCATTCAAAGCAATGTGTGTACTGATTTCATCCAGTGGCCCAAGGACAATTGCTGGGTGTTTCTTCTCAGCACTGTATGTGAGACATAGGCTGCCTCCATAGGACAGGTTACACGCAGCCCATGCCAGGCCAGAGCATCTCAGGAAATCCACCCAATGATGAGAGTGGAAGGGGAGGGGTTTAGCAGTTCCTTCCTTTCTAAAATGCAAGCAATGTGGAGAAAAGTAACAGCTGAGTGGCCAGGAGCCTTCTTCCTGACTCACTGGACGCCTGGGAAAACAAATTTGCATCTCACTGGTATCTTCTCGTTGGGAACAAGAGGCCTAGAAGGTCTCTCCAGGGACCTTCACGGGATCCACTGAAGGCAATTTTACCTCATGCAGACATGGACGTGGCTCATTTTTGTTTGCACTTAGGAGGACTTTCACGTTGGTTGTTCTGTAATAGACAATGCACTTTCAGAATAAAATCTTGAACACCCACTGCATGGGTGAAGGCAGGGCAGTTCACAGAACTGGGTAGTGCCTCGGGAAGTACCAAGGCAGGAGGAACACAAGACACAAGTGGGAATAGCCAAGGACTTGGCCCTCTGCCTCTTGGAGACGAGTCCTAGAATGATGTATCTGAGACATAGCATGCCAATACATCCTCTTTCCAGTAGGCAGGGATACACAGGACCATAGTGACCTCTCAAAAGGTCTGATATGGAGAAGATGATGTCACCTAAGGGTCACCACTTCTATCGCCTTCCAAAGTGAGAGGCCAATTGTCCCTTGCAACAGAGGCAGGAAGCTAACGAAGTAAGACCCTGACTTGGGGTAGGGAGGGTGTATCTTCTGCTAAAATACAATGCCCAACACCTAGAAAGAACTTAACAAATGTATGGATGTATAGAGGTTCTGCAACAACAAGGAGGACCCTGTCTCAGATAAGGAACAGTTCCAATGCTGTTGACATTTGAGCCATCTCATGTGCACACCCACATTCACACACGCAAATGTGCAAATATGTCTCTCTCTCTTTCTCTCTCTCTCTCTCACACACACACACACACGAATCTCATTTATCAGTACTCATGTTTTTTTGAGTCTAACATGAAATTTATAGAAATTAAGCCATTTACAGGAACTCCTAGTTCAATGCTCTTTTTATAATAGCACATCCATAAATTAGAACATGTACTTATCCATCAACGTTACCTTGCTGATATTCAAACCTTCTCCATTTTTTATTAAGGCACAATGGGACACTTTCTTACCTTTGGGAGCCTGTATTTGTCCCTGAGGTGGACTCGGAGGCATGCCCTCTCTGCCTTTTTCTGAGTAAATGCAGCATCTCTCTCCATCCTAAAAAACAGGTAAAGAATAGGAGACAGGGTCATAGGAGATAGAGAGTCTCAAATATTCTGGCTGGTCCTCAGGGAGCAGGACCCTGGGTCATACTTGACTGCCACTGACCACTGGCATCTGGAAAAATGTAGAATTCCCCCTCTAAGTCCCCAGTATCTGCTCCTCTTTTCCTATCATCACTGTAGTCCAGCGCTCCAGTCCTCGGGCAATGCGGCCTGGGAATGTCTTTGGGAAGTAAGCAGAGAGCATTCGAAGGATGACTGTGGATGGGCTGTGTGGTCCTGGACCCTGACCCTCAGCATCACCCACGGGGAAGGCAGATTCCACATGTGCTCCCATTCTGCTGCCTCTACCTTTCAGGTGAGGAGGCTGTTTTTCTAATAAACCCTTCCCTGAGCACTTACAGAAGCAAAAATCACCAGGCATCCTACTCCAGGGCTGAGACATTCTTTGGAGGTGCCTGTGGTGTTAGGAGACATGATGCCAAGTTCTTTCCCATCATTGTCACTGCTGCCAGGCCCCAGTGACAGTGTTCAAACAGTGTTACCTTCCCTAGTCAGAGACACTATCTACAAACGAAGCAGTTTCAATTCCTGTCATGTCAGTCTGGGCACCCACTGGATGGAGGGCCTAATCCGGAGGTTCTCAACCTGTGGGTCGAGACTCTTTTGGGGGTGATATATCAGATATTTACATTATGATTCATAACAGTAACAACATTGCAGTTATGAAGTAGCAATGAGAATAATGTTACGGTTGGGGGGTCACCACAACATGAGGGACTGTATTAAAGGGTTGCAGCATTCAGAAGGTGGAGAACCACAGCCCTAATTGGACCCATGATCAGGCCAATTTGAAATGGATTCCCTGGGCCATGATGATCTACACAAATGCATAAAGCTTTGGGAAATATGGGAAAAGTTCACAAGAATGGCTTCCCTCCTTAGTTGCCCACAGAAGTGCATGGTTCATGCTGAGTTTATTCAAAGGCACTGTCTCTGCTGTGTTGGGATGGACCAGGTGTGTTCATTTTTAAGGTGAAATTTGGCTTTTTTTTTAACTTGAAGCTGTGAAGTATGCCCAACCATTACACAAAAGGCAATTTAGAAGACAGGCTACATCTGAACCAAAAAAAAAATCAGATTAATGACTGATCACTGTGCCTGGGACTCAAGTGGTCTTGAGTCAATTCTACCTCCAGAATGTTCTAGAATAGGCTTGAGACAGCATTGTGTCCAACCTTCTAATTTTTAGAGAACTAGGAAAAGTGATTTATCCAAGAGGTTAATGCAGATCCTTTCCACTCAATATTTTATTAGGAAAACTTTCAAACATCCAGGAAACTTGAAAGAGCCTTAGGTTGAAAGCCACGTTTCAATGACATAGCTTCCCCAGTTCGAATCTTACGTTTTAAGACATACCTATCATTCTACCCATTTATTCATCTTACATTTTGATAGATTTAAAGCTGCAAAAAGCAGTATACCTCCCCAGAACACTTCAGCCTGCATATTTATTTATACAACCTCTACCTTTCTTTTGAAGAAAAGAACTGCATGCAATTCAATTTCCCAAACTTTAAAGTATACCATTTGGTAATACCTTTCAATGCCCTCACCTGTGTGACCCAAGGCCTTTAATCGGAAAGATTAAAATGACACCCTGGCCAGTTTTTTTTTTCCTTGACCAATCAAATCAAGGCCAATTACAAATGTGCCTAAACCAGGAAGTGTTATGCTGCATTAAGCATGGTGGACAGGCTCGCTTAGTGTTCTTCACTTCCATCTGTATTAGTAGCATGCAGAGGCAGCAATGCTACGGGGTTCTGCTTTAGCAGAACCAACTTTCATCCGGCTAGATGGAAAGGGTCAGAGGAAAAGCGTCCTTGGAAGCCAAGAGCCATCAGCCCCGGCACTGGAGGCTTGCACTCTGGATGGACCCCTTTGCTCTACAGGGGATCGAAGTCACGGTACTCACTTCTCTTCAATCATCTGCTTCTGGTATTCCTCGTATTCCTCTCTAGTCATCCCTTGAGCTGCTGCGGGGTCCGAGGTCCCTCCTTCTTCTTTCTTTTCTTCAGACCCACCTCCAAATCCTAAATTCTTTACTTGGTTACTTATCATATTTTTCACAAAGAAAGCCATGGTCTCTGCCCTTAGAGAGCTGAAACCCAGTTAAAGCCTGACAGTAAACAAAGCCAGACCAAAGTAAAGCCTCCAAATGTTCTCAACCACGGCCACACATTTGGGAGCGAAGGATTTGCGCAGCTTCCTCGGTCCAAGGGCACAGGATAGGGGAGAGTGCTTTTGCTAGTTGTAAGCTGGATTAGAGGGCGAACTCTTAGCGTAGAGGCAGATGGTTCCGGTTACTAAAGCCCACAGTCAGATGCAGCCTTCTGCCTTATGATTAATACACTCAGCTAATTTTACGGGGCAGAAGCCCTGTCCATTCTCTGCACCACTTTTCTTAGCCATCTAAACTTATTTTATTTATTCATTTATTTATTTGGCCAGAGCTGGAGATAGAGTGCAGGGCCTTGCATATGTCAGGCCAACGTGCTACCTTTGAGCAATGCTCCCATCCCCTAAAGTTCAAATGATATAGACAGCAGGGCTCCATCAAGAGTCCCGCTTCAATTACATTAATTGGAAGCAACTGATTATATGGCTGCTGTGGAATTTCCACATCCCAGCCCTGGAGTGCAGCATCCTGTTGGAAATAGTCCAGGGAGATTCAAAGCCCTGAGTGCTTTATTGAGCAAAACTAATGCTTTTGATCCATATCTGATTTCACTGGACTCTGAGTCTTAAACAAGCCTTGCCCTGGGGTTCAGTTCAGTTTGGTCCTGCTTTACTGGGAATGGTGTCTCAGACAGAAATACACAATCCAAGCAAGGGGGAGGGGGTCCATGGGATGAGTGTTATGGTCTTTAGTTCACCCAGGAAGTTTTGCTTAGCTGCTTCTGTGGCACCAAAGTGCCACTCATCTTCATGAGAAGGATGTTTTTGACACTAAGTCAGAGACAGGACCCCATGGGAGTCAAGTCTTTAGTAGGCACTGGTGCACAGTATGCATTGGTGTTAGTGCACTTTATCTTTTAAAGTTAGCGCACTTCCTGGGTGGTGCTTTAACCCAGCAGCAGCCTCAACAGGCTTTGTAACAGTGCATTCTCTCTGGCTATGTCTTTCTTCTGGTCAAGGTAAGAACAGAGTTCTCAACCTGTGGGTCGTAACCCCTTTGGGGGTCGAACAACCCTTTCACAAGGGTCACATATCAGATGCACTGCTCCTGCACATCAGATATCTATATTACATTGTGATTCATAACAGTAGCAAACTAAGTTGTGAAGTAGCAACAAAAATAACTTTATGGTTGGGGGGGTCACCACTACATGAAGAACTGTATTAAAGGGTCACAGCTTTAGGACGGTTGAGAACCACTACTTTAATCTATGTTTGAATGTTTCTGATTAAAGAACTGGGTAGCGGGATGGAAGACTGATTTGTAATTCATGCCCATTATTTTCTCAGCAGGAACAGGCCTCCAGGCATAGGCCACTACTGCTGTGGTAGAATATTATTTTAAGGTGCGTGGCTTTTGTTTATGCGGCATTTGTTTAACTGTGGGAAACTGTGATTCTCTGCTTGTCTAAAACACCTGATGGTCTAATAAATAGCTGAACAGCTGGCCAATAGCAAGGCAGGAGCAAGGATAGGCGGGGCTAGCAGGCAGAGAGTTTAAGGAGGAGGAGGAGTCCAGGGACCAGCAACCCATCTCCACAGCAAGTCACCCAGCTATGCAGCAAACCACGGAGTAAGAAACAGGACTGGAAGAGGAACAGCAAAAGGTAGACGGGATAATTATAATTAGGAAAAGCTGGCAAGCAGCAAGTCAAGCTAAGGCCAGGCATGTATAAGTAATAAGCCTCCGTGTGTGATTTATTTGGGCAATGGGTGGCGGGCCCCCCAAGAGAGTCAAAAAGCCCAAAGAGTAAAAAACATCAAGCAACACACCCCTAAAAGTGAATGGATAATCTGGGTTTTAGTGGGGATTTTGCACAACATGTGCACTGTATATATTTTTAGGCCCATTTTCCCCTTCTACTAGTCTGTTTTAAAAGCTGCTCAAGTACCTTTGGCATGAAAGACCAAACTAGATATCATCCAGCTTTCTCTAATCGAAAACAGGCATTAACACCTGCCTCCACTTTAGTTTTTAGACCAGTTGCTGGAAACTTAACACACTCAAACATCTCTAAATTCCTGCTCATGGTAAGCTATACCTCATCTCTTAGAGCTTTTAAGATTGTAAATTCTAAGTCTTAACCTTTTGACCTTATGGGGTTCCCCTCTCCCCACCCCCACACACAGTTTAGTGCAGAGAAATTCTCTTAGAAAATACTGAACATCTGAAACACATTAGTCTCCCAGAGCAAAGGACAGCCTCCTAAGTTTTGTCCTTCGTAAAAGGTGCAGTCAGAAAGCAACTCTCCCCCCCTCCCCAAAGCTATGCCAACAGCCAGTTTGGATCTGATGGGTCTGGATCACAGGATAAGTACTATCCCTTAGCAAAAGAACAAAAGTCCAAAATAATGAAAATTAAACCCATTTTGTTATAGTTAAATTACTTATGTTTATTTTAAATATAAAAAATTGTGCTTTATTAAAAACTAGTTAATGCTACTGATAGAGAAGTCTACAAACTAGCTTGTTAAACATTTTCTCCTCATCTGTGTGTGTGTGTGCCCTAGCGTGTGCACGCTCTCACTTGTAAAAACTTAGATATAATCACGCCAGTGTGGAAACGGAATGTCCCTTGCCAGTGCTTTGCTTTGGGATATAACATTCTTACTGGCTCCCCAGCCAGCACTCCCACTGGCAGAAACCACATCTTGCTTCTCACTGTATTGCAACAGCATGTTTTGTTTTGAGACAGAGTTTCTCTGTAGCTTTGGAGTCTGTCGTAGAACTTGCTCTGTAGACCAGGCTGGCCTTGAACTCACACAGATCTGCCTGCCTCTGCCTCCCCAGTGCTGGGTGGCGCATGCCTTTTAATCCCAGAATTTTTATTTGACACTCAGAGACTATGTTCTGCTATGTTCATGCAGAATCTTTGTAGAGATGGTTGTAGAATCTTCTGTTCCTCTAGGAAGGGGAAGTAAATTCCACAGGATTCATGAGGTGAAACCAATAGGCATTGCCATTCCCAGGGCTCCTTCCGCACTTGAGTAAGGCCCCTAAGCCTCACTGTGGCCTGTGAGGCTTTATATGATTTGGGCTGTGCTGGCCTGCCAACTGTCTCTGCCACACCCTTTTGGCCCAGCCCACTCCCATCACACTGATGTCTTTAACATCCCTTTATTCAAGCTTGTCTCCACCATGTGTATGCACGTGTGTATCTATGTGTGTGTTCTTGCTTTCTTGAAAGAAAAGATTCAATAAAGAGACACAGTTTAAGCTGGAATTAAGCAAATAAATACAAAGTATGTTAGTATTCAGGCATCTGTACTGCCTGTCCCTGGGGTTTTGACATGGTATGCCCTCAGCTGCAGCCACTAAGAGCACCACCTGTGTACATTCACTACGTTCCCTTTTTTAAAGGGCCCTGCCCACCTCCCATTTCTGTTTCTCTGCCTGTCTCTTTCTCCCCCCCCTTCTCCTGCTTCTATCCCCAGAGGTTGGTCTCCCTCTCCTCTCTCCACTTTTCTCTCCCCATTCACTTTCCCCCAATAAAACGCATCCATCCAAGCTGTCACATGGTGTTGTTGAAATTTAAAAGCAAGTACTCCAAAAGAGCAAAGACTGGAGGCTGGGGAGATGACTGAGCAGGCAGCACTCAATCTGAAAGCATAAGGATCTGACTTCAAACCCTGGATCCCACATAGAAGGTAAGTGTAGCTGTAATTTCAGCACTTTGAGAGGGCAGAGACAGGAGGATTGCTAGGACTTGGTGGTCATCAAACCAGTTCCAGATTCAGTGAGAGACTTCTGTTTCAAGGGAATAAGTTGGCGTGTGTTACAGCAGGTCACTTGATACCCTCTTCTTCTACACATGGGCATATGCAATTAACTGAACTATAGAGTTTAGAGTAGACAATCCCTAAGGGTCGGGAACAGTCCAGTAGATTCTGGGTTACAGGTCTTGAGATTTTGAGTATTTGAGTTAGGGCAATTCCCTTTAAAATCAGGATGGGTCAAATTTTCCTTTTAGGGTATTTTTCCCCCTAAGATCTTCTGGAAGAGCCTACAAAGTTGGAGTAGGAAGACTGAAGCACAAAGCAAATGATATTATAATGAAGCCAAGATCTCTTAGATTGGCCCTGCACACTGGTGGGAAAATGTGATGGCATCTTAGTTTTTGAAGTAGTGGGAAAAATCTACCTTCAGTCTCAATGACATTTAACTGAATAGGGGACATCCTGACCAGGGAACACAGCTTAATTATAGTCTTCTTGGTTACCTCATGGCTAACTTCCTGAAGACCACTGGAGATTCCATGATTGACCTCACAGCTGATGCCCAGGATTACAATATTGTGTTATTTTTTTAATTGAGCTTTGTTCTGAAAGTTAGGGCCAGGTTTTTTAAAATGAATTTTTAAAATTTATTCAACTCTGCTTCCTCTTGAGCCCTCCTTAGGGGAGGGATTTGATGGAGATATTCTATTTAGGGCTGAGTGTCCCAAGGTCTCTCACTCTTTGTGTATTGTCTGGCTGTGGGTCTCTGAATTTGTTCCCATGTGCGCAGGAGGAAGCTTCTCTGATGATATTGGAGCAAAGCACTGATCTATGAGTGTAGCAGAATGCCATTAGGAGTCATTTTATTGCTGTGTTATTTCAGTAGAACAGTTGTATTTGGTCTGCCCCTATATCCCTAAGCTATCTAGTCTGAGGTTCTTGGTCACACAGTGTTGACTATGAATGAGCTCTATCTCATGGAGTGGGCTGTACGTTAAATTTGTTAGCTACTCCAACAATCTTTGTGCCACCATTGTATCAGCATATCTTGCAGGAAGGTCACCATCGCAGATCAAAGGGCTGGGTTGGTGTTTACATTTCTCCTTTGGTAGAGTGCAGAGTACCTTCCTGCACCAAACGTGTCAGAACGTAGGGTTGAAGGCTGTATGTAGGCACCAGCTTTACTTCTCCTTGTTCAATGAGTTGTGTAGATGTTGTCTTCAGCAATAGTGCCTTGCCATCACTTTGTAGAGAGCAACCTATAGCCTTGCCAACAACCTGGGTTGTTTGAGAATTCCTTTGACCAACAACTCAATTAGATGTAACTAATTCCCAGTATTGGAAGCTTCATTTGCTAACAAATGATGTCCAGATGGGTTTCTGTATTCCCCCATTATTTGGTGATTTCATTTAGATCACCTTCATGTGTGTGTGTGTGTGTGTGTGTGTGTGTGTGTGTGTGTGTGTATACATATATATTCTAGAAAGCTACTGTATTAGGTTTTCATACTACCCCTCAAGTGACCCTTAATTTTAGCTGTCTACTCCTGTATTCCCTCCCTTGTCACCCTT